TGAATATTAATATAATATTTATTGTAGTTATTTTAAGAAAAGAGATGGTCATCAATTATTAACCTTTTCTGCTTTGATCTAATTTCAATCCATGATTATCAGAAAGACCAAAGGTCCCATTTTCATGCAATCTAACTAAATTTGACAGAATCTGAATGATTGAGTACGACTTTCACAGAATAACTGATAAACCTGATCAGGAGGATAATTTTTGTTTCGACCCTTAAGTGATATTGAACTATAGACCTTATGATTGTGACCTGGGAGCACTACTACTGTGCTATTGATCCACAGGTCTAAAACTCTCTTAATTTATATATTATTATTAATATGTTACTATTATTATATATTTTGTTAAGCCACCAAAATATAAAAACTACAAAAAAAAAGTTGGAACAAAAAAAAAACAATAATTGAAAATATACAAATTTATTATAAAAAACAATAAAAAAATAAAATTCTTTAGTTTTCTTCAATTATTTATTTTTTTTAATAAGATATATTCTATTAAAATATATTTTTTTCTTATCTAAGAAACTTATTTATTCTTAATATTAATTTCTTTTTTATATATTATTATTATTATTGTTATTTTTTATTTTAAGGGGTAATAAAGCTTATTTATACATGAATATTGTATATCTGTACATATAATCTAATCTGGTAATAGATATTACAAAAAAAAAAAAATAGTTAAGCTATCAAGTTTGAATCAACTTTATATATTTTAAAATTTGAAATTCAATTTGATTGATTTTAAAATTTAAAATTTTGATTTAATCAGATTTTAAAACTTGAAAATTTTTAAAATTAAATTAAATCAAATTTTGATAGGTCTTAAAATGATTTTGTTTTCTTTTTTCTTAAATTGATTGAATTCAAATTTAAAATTATGATTACCAATGTATAGTTTACTTTGATTAAACAAAGTATATATAGTTAATTAGACAAAAGAATTAATAATAATAATTAATTATAAACAATTTATTTATTCTAATTTTGAAAGTATATATACTGTATATATATTTTTAAAAAAATTATAATATATTCACTAGAATACATTCTTAGAATTAATATACAATTCTTTAATTGCAAATTTTGATAGTATTTGAATCGTGAAGCTTAAAAATCACATTCCCCGGTATTTAACGTTAATCGGTTAATAATTGATGACCATCTCTTTTCTTAAAATAACTACAATAAATATTATATTAATATTCAAATTATTATACATTATCCTGCGAAGATCCGGTTTAACATAGAATCAAAGATAATAAGCAGTCAATACCACAATAACCATCGTGTAATATCAGTCATGGTTATGTTATAACTACATTAGTGTCCCAAAGTGTAACATACAAGATTAATTTTTCACGAATATCTATCATTAATTTAAAAGTCATCTTTTTAAAATTCTATGGGATATAAAGATGTAAATATAGAATTTCTGAATAAAACTAAAAATAAAAAATAAAAAATAAAATAAAATAAAATATTTAGGAAGATCCGCTCACGGCCAACCTATATTACGAAGTAGAATTAATGAGATTAATATCAAAAACCTAAAATAATGCGAGCGTGAGTAATAAAAAAAAACCTACTTCTTCAAATGTTCCATGAATACTTGCAAACTAACGTCATCGGTGAAAATAGCTTGACCTTGTGGTGCACCATACAAGCTTCCAGAGACGTGCGTGGTAGAAGGATTAAGTTTTGAAAGCAGGAAACGAGCTTGAGATCCATGTTGATCACAAACAATATAACGAGGGACGGGGAATCTATCCGCCAAAAGTTCCTTTTACATAAATTTATTTAATTTAGTCATTTCATTTATGAATCAAATAATGAAATATCCGGGTGCATCAAGTACCTCAGAATCTGTCTTTGGCGCCTCCAATAACTCTTTGAAATTCTCATAACCTTCTTGGTCTTGATATCCGGCCTTTCTCCATTGTGCGATTGTTTCACCATGAAAGATAAGAATATGGAAAAATGTGTCTAGCAGCAAGAT